GATTGTCAAATGACTACATTGAACACCTGAAACTAATACAATACCGTATGTCAACTATACTTCAAAAAGTGTACTAAATATAAATAAAAATTCCCCAATAATCACATCCTGTATCAGTCCAAACTTTTCTGTATGAACATATTTTCACATAGGTTTTTAACTTAAAAGGAAACATCACTCTATAACCTGCTGTAAAGGGAAAACACCTCTTGTGTGTCTCTACTGTCAAAACTCACACGGGGGGCGCCTGGGTGGCTCAGTCGTTAAGCGTCTGCCTTCGGCTCAGGTCATGATCTCAGGGTCCTGGGATCGAGCCCCGCATCGGGCTCCCTGCTCCGCAGGAGGCCTGCTTCTCCCTCTCCCACTCCCCCTGCTTGTGTTCCCTCTCTTGATGTGTCTGTCTCTGTCAAATAAATAAATAGAATCTTTAAAAAAAAAAAACAAAAAACCAAAACTCACACGGAACACTTCTGTGAGCAGACGTGTGGGAGTTTCCCCACACCCAACAACTCCAACTCTTCAGCAGACACCGGCTGCTGTCCTGCAACTTAACGCAATTTGGACATGATCCACCTGAATATAGTGTCAGATCCTACAAATTAAAGGCTCGGTGCCACAAGACTGGCCCCAACCCCACCCCTACTTCAGATGCCAACTGCAAGTCCAGGCTGTCACCTCTGCTTCTGATGTATGGAAGTTCCCATGACCTCTTCCTCAGGTGCAATTAAATTGCTAAAAAGGCTCACAAAACTCAGGGAAACAGTTTACTTACTAGATTACCAGTTTATTCTAAAGACTGTAACTCTGGGAATAGGCAGCTGGAAGAGCTGCATAGGACAAGGTATGTGGGAAGGGGCACTGAGCTTCCACGCCCTCTGGGTGTGTCACCCTCCTTGCACCTCCACAGGTTCACTCAATGTGGAAGCTCTCTGAACCCTTCTTTTGGGTTTTTAATGTAGGTTTCAGTACATAAGCACGATTGGTCAAATCACTGGCCCCAAGTGATTAACTCAACCTCCAGCCCCCGTCCCCTCCCCAGAGGTGGGGGTGGGGTAGGGTGGCGCTGAAAGCTCCCAACTCTTGACAACCAGACCTCATCCTTAGGGGCCTTCCAAAAATCACCTCGTGTGTGGTTGAAAGGGACTTGTTATAAATAACAAACTACACTCTTATCTCTTACTAGGCAATTCCAAGGGTTTTAGGACCTCTGTGCCAGGAACTGGACAAAAACCAAATACGTATCTCTTATTATAAGCCATATTATCACACCTGTTTAATTCATTTAACATTACAGGCATTTTTTTCCATGTCAATATTAAGATTTATCTTTCTTTTTAATGACTGCATAATATGCTGCTGCATAAAAATGGCAAAAATGTTTAAAGTAATACCCTCTGTTGAACATTATTTCTAATGTTCAAAATTATGAATGATGCTGCAACACATCTTTATACATACATCTGTACACATCTCTAGTAACTTCCTTAAATGACTAAAGAGAATCAGAGGTTTAGCTGTGCTGTCCAATATGGAATGCACTAGCCACATGTGACTATTTAAATTAACTGAAATAAAAAATTTTAAAATTCAGTTCCTTAGCTCTACTAGTCACATTTCAAATGCTCCAGCTGATGACTATTAAAATGTGGTAGCCACTGTATTGAAGAGAGTAGATATAGAAAATTCCCATCACTGCAGAAGGTTCTACTGATAGCCCTGGTCTAAAGAAATATCCATATAAAAATTTGATACCTGTATCCCACAGAAATGACATAGCACTTTAAACTCTCAAAATTAGTACATGCACTCCTATGTCCTCTCATTGTTGACATCAGATAAATATGAAACACAGTGTTTCAATTTGCATTTAAGGATTATTAGTGAGGGGGGCCTGAGTGGCTCAGTCAGTTAAGCCTCCGACTCTTGGTTTCAGCTCAGGTCATGATCGATCTCAGGGTTGTGAGATCGAGCCCCATGTAGGGCTCCACGCTCAGCGAGGAGTCTGCTTGATGACTCTCTCCCTCTGCCCCTCCCCGTTCTTGCATGTGTGTGTACATGCGCACGCACTCTCTCCCCGCAAAATAAATAAATAAGTCTTAAAAAAAATTATTAGTGAGGCTGAAAGTCTTCACATTTTTGGCCATTTGTGTTTATTTTGTTGTTGCTGAATTATCTTAACTTAGTCTATTTTAAAAGAATCAAAGGTATCCTGTTTCAGATGACCTATAAAACCAAAACGTATGTGCAGTGAAGAGACATTTCTTCATCTGTTTTGGTTTCCTAATAATTTCATAAAGATATTTGTCAAAACAGCATAAAACTACCTAAGAGAGTAGTACCACAATTAGGTAAAGGCAGTCTCTACTCTTCAGATGATGTTTCCTTAGTGGAGTTAATATAACAGGGGCTAACACCACAGCACATTGTTTCTATGAGATATTGTTATTCTTATAAATTTTCAAATTAAGCTATGAAAACATAGGTTGATATACAAATATAAAATGTTTATATCTGAAAAGTAATTATAGTTACACAAAAGTCTGGAACAGAAAAAAACCAACCTATCAGGAATCAGAACAGTGGGTTCCCGGGTTGGCAGGGGTGGAAAGATGAAAGGAGTGGTGAAGCACACAAAGGGAGTTTCTGGAATGATGGAGATGTTCTGGATCCTGTTAAGGATGTTACACAGGTGCATATAGTCAAGACTCCCTGAACTGTATACAGAACTTAAACAGTTTCACTATATGTAAATTACATCTGGTTTCTCTTCAGATCACATAAATCTTTCACCTTTTAAATCTTAATTTTTTTTTTTTTAAGATTTTATTTATTTATTTGAGAGAGCGAGAATGAGAGAGAGCACATGAGAGGGGGGAGGGTCAGAGGGAGAAGCAGACTCCCTGCCGAGCAGGGAGCCCAATGCGGGACTCGATCCCGGGACTCCAGGATCATGACCTGAGCCGAAGGCAGTCGCTTAACCAACTGAGCCACCCAGGCGCCCTAAATCTTAATTTTTAAAAGGAAGAAAAAAGTTTAAAAGGTATTGTGCTAGTTAGAATATTCAACTTATAGGCAATAAAATTATTTAAAATATTTATAGAAGTTAAAATATGATTCCTGGCCAGGAGACACAAAGTTTTACTAAATTGGGGAATGGGAAGCAGAGCCAAACCACACAACTGTCAAACCAATGGCACTGTAGAAAATTCAGTATCGGGGCAAAAAAAAATATAAGATATATTAAGTATCAGAAAAGCATTGCTAACATTTTAACATAGATATTTAATCAACATTTCTAAAAAGTCTGGACCAGTGAAATGAAAGCTGAACCAAACACTCACTTTCTGGAAAATCATTTCCCTAATTATCGAACAGTATACGATTTAATTTTCTGAGCCATTTATGCTGAGGTAGTTTTTGAAATAGGCTCATTTTTGCCTTTTATTCTTCTCTTCTGGTGGAACACATTAGTACAAAAGCTAATACATGCATGTTAAAACTAGTAGACTTGAAAATGAAAAATGCCTAAGGAGAGACAAGATGCTCCTCTCCATATCACATTACCTCCCCACTCCCACTGTAACAACGCACATTAGTATCCTGGCCCATTACCCAAATAGCATAACCTGTTTAGTGAGTTCTTCAGAAGCCTAAGCTACAAATCTCATTCAAGTTCTTTGCAGACAAGCTCAGATATGGTAACTCTTCAGATGACCTTGCTTATGAGAGGAGAAGGAAGGATATGTGGGGGATACTAAGACTTCTGTCTCCAAAAGTGAAGCCTTCCTAGTTAAGAATGTGGCCCAGGGGCAAAGCAGCAGCAAAGTGTACATTTTATTAGTGTATCTGCTTTGTAGAAAGACAGCTATTTTTGTTATTAAATTTACATTATACTTCAGAATCAAACAGATCTGGGTTTGAGAATCAGTTCTGCCATTTATTAGATGTGTGATCTTGGGCCAGTTACGAAGTTCTGTTCTCTAGTGGGGAATGCTAACAATATGTCTCATGGGTATGTTGTGAAGACTACATGAAAACACAAATAATTCTTTAAGCTCAGTGGCTGACACACTATAGGGTGCTTAACAAATAATAACTACTATCACACACAATTCTGTTCCTCAAGAACGCTACGTAAATAACACAGGCCCCAGTCACTGCCCTCTGCAACCAAACTACCTAGGATATTCAGGTAGTCATTTATTGCTATCAAAGAATTAACAAAGGGGCGCCTGGGTGGCTCAGTTGGTTAAGTGACTGCCTTCGGCTCAGGTCATGATCCTGGAGTCCCGGGATCGAGTCCCGCGTCGGGCTCCCTGCTTGGGGGGGAGCCTGCTTCTCCCTCTGACCCTCCCCCCTCTTGTGTACTCTCTCTCATTCGCTCTCTCTCTCAAATAAATAAATAAATCTTTAAAAAAAAAAAAAGAATTAACACAAATAGGCAGCATACCATAATTCTAAAGTCTGACCAAAATATGTCCCTTACAGGAATTTCAGCAGCCAACACCATCAATAAGGTCTTTTTTTTTTTAAAGGGGCGGGGGGTGCAGAGAGGGATGGAGAGAGAATCTTAAACAGGCTCCATGCCCTGTTTGGAGCCTGATGCGGGGCGTGATCTCACGACCCTGAGATCATGATCTGAGCCGAAATCAAGAGTCGGACACTTAACTACTGAGCCACCCAGGCACCCTGATAGGTCATTTTTTAAAAAAAGCTAAAAGGTATAAATAGGCTAGGAAAAAAATTATGTAAGACAGACTTAAGAACTCAAAGTTGACCAAAAAAAAAAAAAAAAAAGGAAATCTGTTTGCTAAGCAGAGGCTGAATGCTTCCATGCCATGCTACTGATTTATCTCAGCTCCATCACTACTGAAGCAAAAAGGACACAGATAGCATGTTACTCTTTACCACAGATGACCCAATCTATGATACCGTAGCAGCCACATTTATTCAATTTAAAAAGCAGTTTATGTGGCAGATCGTGTACAATAAATATTTACCTGTTTCTCCTCAACTGGCATGTTTTTTTCCAGTTCTATTAGGTATTCTTCATCAAGTTCAGAGGAATTCACATCATCAGGTTTGTTCTCAGCCTTGTCTGCTCCTGGCTCCTCCTTCTCAAATGAGGCACTAAGGTCATGAAAACACTCCTCTTCTCCCTGGTCTTCCTGGGAATGAGCTGCAACATCCTTGAGCAGCTTGCTCTGGAGATGGTGATCTTTGGGACTGGAAACCGGAGGGGTAGCACACTCTGCTTCCTGGGGATCTGTAACTTTCAAACCATTGAAAAGATCCTCTGGAGCCCTACAGTTCTCTGACTTCTCCCCCATGCTGTATCAGTGAGGGAGGTGAAGCCAAAGCTCTGGGAAAAGAGAAAACATGTTAGGTAATGGTGCTTATACAGATATCCACCATTTTCCAAAAGTCCACCGTATGCCACTTAGCTTTTAACAGAGACCTACGTTAGTATGGTAACAGTTTTCATAAAAGTGAACATCCCCTTCAGATTTCTTTCAATTAGTGAAAACAGGTAAATATTAATGTAGGTCTTTCATAAAAGCAAAATAGTATAATTCCACCTTTTGGAAAGGGTGTGTGTGTGTGGATAATCTTTGCCTTAGGCCATTTCAGCTTAGGAAAGGCTTGACAGGAATGCTCAACTTTTGGATAGCAGGGGAAACCTGTATTAAAAAAAAAAAAATCCTTGGGGCGCCTGGGTGGCTCAGTCGTTAAGCGTCTGCCTTCGGCTCAGGTCATGATCCCAGGGTCCTGGGATCGAGCCCCACGTCGGGCTCCCTGCTCAGCGGGAAGCCTGCTTCTCCCTCTGCCCTCTTCCCTCTTGTGCTCTCTGTCTCTCATTCTCTCTCTCTCAAATAAATAAATCTTTAAAAAAAAAAAAAAAATCCTACCTATCATGCATAAACAAACTTCTGCATCAAAACCAAAAACATACCCTAACTTCCTTTTGCTGAAATCCATTATTAAAAAATTGGTTATATAAGCCCATAAATAATGCCAAACATTTTACTGACTCCCCTTTCAGAATTTCATATTAGCAAAAAGAGAACGGTTTTAATGGGGCTCTTCCTCTTTCCACTACTCGAATTTTGTCGGGGTAGCAAAAAACAGGATAAGCTAAAACAATGGCAAGAAAAATGAAACGGCCCTAATCTTTATTCGGAATTAATAGCCAGCTCGTAAATAAAAAAATGCGGGCCTGCCTTTCCAGCACCACCGTATGAAGCTCAAGGATAAGTTTCCGATGGAGCTCAAAACGCAATCGGTGCCAAAACAGTGATCGTCAGCTTCACCCAAATGTGTGCTGTAGAACCAACGCAGGTTATAGTGGAAGGGGAATCCTGGCGCAGCTGGTCCTAGCACAGGATCTCCGTGGGGGTCAGACTCAGCCACTACAAGAGTGATTCTCAACCCTGGCTAGACAACATAATACTTGGGACGCTTTAGCAAGTACTGCTGCCCAGATCTTATTCTCCACAGATTATAATTTATTGGTCTGGCCTAGGCCCAGAACACCTGTATTTTAAAAAGGCATCCCAGGTGATTTTAATGTACAGCCAACTGAGAACCATGGCTGTAGAAGCTGAGTCAGACCGTCAGCAGCCCCGCCCCCTCGCCCCTCTCGTCGCAGCAAAATCACGCCAACGACCCCTTGTGTCGCGACAAGGGCCCGAATTCGTCCCAGCTCGTCCCAAGAAAACTTCAAATAGCAAGATCTTAATACTAAGACTTCGCCTCCACAGCAATGTTTTGTTTCTCCCTGCCCCCAGATCTAGTGGAAGAACGCGAGTTTGAATACCCAGGGTTAAGGCGGGGCCACCCTACGTTTCCCAGCAGTTCGTCCTCTAGCTGAGTCCCTCAGAGCCAAAGCGGACAGTCCCAGGTAACTACTCACAGGTCCCCAGCTCCTCTAGTCTTCACCTTCCCAGTCTCCGGGATCTTCTATTTCCGCTCAGTCAAGTGCACTTCCCTCGGCCCAAACCAATGGCGACGCCGTTGGCAAAGCATCCTGGGAAATGTAGTGGAACTCTCGGGGAGAGAGCGCGTCGCTGTCGCGTTGTGTGACGCCTTGTACGGACTGAAATGCAAGTGACGGTTGCCATCTTGGGTTACGGCGAGACTCCGCATTACTCAGCACAGTAGAAAAAGAGGCTGTCTCTATGCTGTTAACGTTTACTCCTTCACTCTGGCCTCTTATGCTAGCAATGCATAGAGGAATCCTGAAGCATAAACCTTGTCCAAAATAGTTTTCTCTCTAATGGTTCTCAAAGTGTGCCTTTCCAGGGGCCCATTACTAGATCAAAACAGTTTTCATAACAATACTAAGTTGTTATTTGCCTTTTCCACACCCCTTTCATGAATACAATGTTTTCCAGAGGCTGTGTCATGTGATCGCGCAATGGATTGAATGTAGAAGGAGCTATGAGAATCCAGCTGTCTTCTATTAAGCCAGATATTTGCATAAATGTAAACAATGCTACTCTGCTCACTACACGGATTTTTTTGTTTTGGAAAATATAGTGATTTATAAAAAGAATATGTTGGCATATAATAGGTGTATTGTTATCTTAAATTAATAAATATTAAATATTTTTCAGCTCTAACTTCTAATACAATACAACTTCTAAAATTGATAAGTATAACCCACATAAACAAAAGCTTTTTGTGGTCTTCACTAATATTAAGAGAGTTAAGAGGTCCTGGAACCAAAAGCGAACTGTTGCCCAATGCATTCATTCAAGAAATGTTTATTGAATCTCTATTAGACTCCATTACATTCCCATGCTGGGAATACAGAACTGAAATACCTGTTAAGGTAGCCTGACAGGTAATCAGCAATAACAGCAGAATAGTTTTCTGTAATTCACAGAACCCATTGGAGAGATAGCTGGGAGGGGCTTTTTTCAGGAAGGATATCAAACTTGTTTTTTGAATTTATGTCTAAATGAGGTTATGCACACTCTTGCATTTTTGTGTAAGTCAAAAGCTTTAATATACAAAAACAAAAATATGTATCAGAATTTTGGAAACTTTTAATATTTAAAATTTTTAAAATGCTGCAGGAACTTAAAAATTTTTCAATAGTTAGGCTTCTTACGACGTTTAAGAAGTCCGGTTAGGTGCTAAGAGATACAAACTTCCAGTTCTAAAATAAATAAGTCACAGAGATGAAAAGTGCAGCATAGGGAATATAGCTAATAATATTGTAATAATTTTGTATGGTGACATAGTGACTACAGTTACATGGTGAGCACTGAGTAATGTACAGAATTGTCGAATCACTATATTGTACACCTGAAACTAATATAACATTGTATGTCAACTGTACTTCAATAATAATAAAAAATAAGTCCTGTTAATTAAATTCTGGTGCAATAGAAAGGCTATGAATTTTGGAGCAAAATTAGTAAGTAAGTAAATAAACTTGAGTTACAACATCAGCTTTTTTACTTTACTAGCTGCCCAACTTTGAATGATAATTCTAGTAACTAACATTTATTGATTATGTGTTCATTAGGTGTCACACGCTGTGAAAAATGCTTTATGTGGATTATTTGAATTCTCATTCTGGCTCTGCCACTTGACTAGCTGTGTGACTTTGATGTAAATAACTTAATGCTTCTAAACTTTGATATATAAATTTGCCCCATATGTAAAAATTGGGTTGGGTAACAATGGTAGTTTGGTGGAAAGTTTGGGAGAAAGAAATGATATAATTTAGAAGACAAGGTGCACAAGGATTGACACATAGTGTTTAATGAATGTTAGAGACAATAATAATATGTGACAGACCTTGTGACAGTTGCTGGTTACAGGAAACCTAATAAGGCACTGCCCCTTCCCTCCACATTCTGGGGAGCTCACTGCCTATTGGGGGAGGGGAAGATTGAGGATAAGATAAAAGCTCTACTGAGCCTGAAGGAAGAAGCAATTCATTCTCTCTCTTTTATTTTATTTTTTTTAAACCATGAAGAGCCAACGTCCAATTGGCTCAGTTTGGTAAGTCTTCACTAATAAGATATTTGAGTTATGCCGTGGAAAGAGTAATAGTTCATTAAGAAGGAAAAAAACAGGGAAGGCTGAGGGACATAAAAATCTCAGGAATATTTTTGGGAATGATACATAGTTGGATGTTGCCAAGGTATCCGAGCACAAAGCAAGAAACAAATTTTTACAAATGGAAGTCCACCCATCAGATCCTGGAAACTTGGAAATTTTGTCTTTAGTGCTCATAGCCACCATGTAAAAGGAAAAGAAATGTTTTTCATTTAGAGGGCTGTTCTGTTGTTATTTTCCCAGGGCAGAGACCATGTCTGTCTTGTTTACAGTTGTAAGGGGTCAGTGAACATCCTGTTATCACATGGGTGAATGATTCTCTTTCAGGAATTTATAGCCAAAACACTGGGTAACTCGGGGCTCTGATGAGTTGTATAAAAAGATTTCGAGACCTCTGGAATCATTTTATAGGATTGTTGTAAGAAGTAAATGGTGTCATGTCTTATCTAAAACACAAGGGAAGTGCTCAAGATAGAAAAAAATGCTTTAATATTAACAGCGCTTAGTATGGATGGTGAGTTCTCAATAAACATTAGCGGTCGTTGTATTACTATTATTAATGAAGTTCTCACAGTATTACCAATATTATGATCAATTACTAATAGTAAAGGTAATTTGATTAATAGCATTACTCATGATAATCAATATTAATAGTGATAATATTTGTGAAGTTTTCATTTAAACCCCCCAGACAGAGGACTGAGCCCCTAAGTATGTTGAAAGAATGGGAGCTGCATATGAATGCATGAATAATGAATGAATGCTAGGCGCCATACAAGACCCTGTGGTGTGTACAGCAATGAATCAGGAGAATAGCAAAGGAACCATTTTCTCTTTGTTTTTCTTCCTAGAGCAGCTGGGTGATTTCTTAGTGGCATGGGATGATATAAGAGAAGGAGTCTTATACTCAAGATTGTCCTTTGGGTGACTGGCACGACAATAGGATCACTGTCCAGTATGGTGGTGAAGGGTATAGGCTCTGGAGTCAGACTTCCTGGGTCTGAATCCCTACTCTGCCTCTTAGCAGCTGTGTGATCTTGGACAAGTCACTGAACCTTGATACCCACCTCATAAGATTTCATGAAGCTTGTTTTCTTTATTTTAAAGTGTTTATTTATTTACTTATTTGAGAGAGCGAGAACGATCTGAGGGGCAGAGGGAGAGGGAGAAGCAGACTCCCTGCTGAGCGGGGAGCCCAAAGCGGGGCTCAATCCGGGGACCCCGAGATCATGACCTGAGCTGAAGACAGACACTTAACCCACTGAGCCACCCAGGCGCCCTGGTTTCATGCTTAAATGAAATAATGAACCTAAGGCACTTTCTACAGACCCTCACACGTACTTTAACATAAACTAAATTGCTTTGTGGGGAATCTGAGGCAGAGATGGAAATCACTCCTGCCTCCCCTGGTGACTTATGTACACACACCGTGTTAAACTTTTGGAAGGCTTTGTGCATCTACCCTCCCTGGAGCTAGAGATTTAAATCTATGCTAGAGTGACTCAGTCTTTTCTGTGCCCCAAGTGGATATATTCATACCATGGGGCTTACTGAGTCCTAGCTTAAAGATAAAGCTTTATGCTCTGGGATCCTCCAAGTCCTGAACTCTATTCTCCACGTTCCCCCAGAGTTGGGGTGCACGAACTTGCCAAAGCAAGGTCCAGCATCCAGGAATAGCCAGGGATGCCAAAAGAATTCCTTGAGGATGAGAGGTATTACATAAAATACATAATTAAGATGTAGATCCTGTATTCCTATAATGTTTCCAAAAGATGCTATTGCTTTTTATTTTTTCCCAGTTCCAATCTTCAAATTGAGATTTCCTATAGGAGACATAATCAAGAGCTAATGTTCTGTGCATTTAAATTCCTAGGTTTGTTCCTGTTTTCCCTTAGATGAGCATGTCTAATAGCAATACAGTGCGAGCCACATATGTAACTTTCAATTTTCTAGTAGCAGCATTAAAAACAGTAAAAGAAGGGAAATTAATTCAAACAATATTTTCTTTAACCCAATATGTCTAAGATATTCTCATTTGAAGATGTAGTCAATATAAAAAATAAGAGAATATATTCTGTTTTTCATACTAAGTCTTTGGGATCATGTGAGTATTTTACTGTCATAGCACATCTCAATTTGGACATTAGGCTTTCATTGAAAATGCTTGAATCTGTACTCAGATTTCATAAAATTTACAGTTATGTAGATTCACAAATCCAAGTTTTTTCAAATATAATTCCCAATGACTGAATCAAATATTAATCTTTAAATTTTATTAAAATTAAGTAAAATGAGAAATTTAAGTCCATGGTTGCACTAGCCACATTTCAAATGTTCAATAGCCACTTGAAGCAAGTGTCTACTGTATTAGGCTCAGACTTTCCAGAACATTAGCTAACTAACATTCAGAGAGAACTTATATGTGTCAGGGGCTGCGCTCATTATTTTACATTTGTAATTATAGGTAATCCTTACAATGACTCTGGCCTCCTTCACTGTTGTTTCTTACAATCCCTTCACCATGCAGTAACCAGACTGATCTTCAAAAACATGAATCCTGGGGCACCTGGGTGGCTCAATCAGTTAAGAGTCAAACTCTTGATTTTGGCTCAGGTCATGATCTGAGGGTCATGAGATCCAGCCCGGCATCTTGCTCTGTGCTGGGCGTGGAGCCTGCTTGAGATTCTCTCTCTCCCTATGCTCCTCCCCGCCTGCTTGCACTCTCTCTCTCTCAAAACAAGCAAGCAAACAAACAAACAAACATGAATCCTGTACAAGTCTTAACTGTTTGCATTGACTTCCCACTCTGGATTAGAATAAAATCCAAAATTCCTTATTGTGATTCTAAGTCCCATGAAATCTGATCTCCACCGACCTTTCTGACCTCATCTTGTGCCACTGTCCTTTTTGGATACTATTCTACTTTCTGCTCCTAAAACACAAC